CTGACCGATGGTCACCCAGCCTCTGCTTAAAGACACCCTGAGACAGAGACTCCACCTGACTCCAAGTCAGTCTCCCTTCCACTCGAGTTGGGAGGGACCCCCAGAGGTCATCTAGTCCACCCCATCCAATCCTTCCTGACCGATGGCCACTCAACCTCTGCTCCAAGACCCCCAGAGACAGAGGCTCCACTGGACTCCCAGAAGAGTCAGAAGGGGCCCCCAAAGGCCATCCGGATCACCCCATCCGATCCCTCCTAACCAATGGCCACACAGCCTCTGCTTAAAGACCCCCCAAGATGAAGGCAGTCTCCCTTCCACTCGAGTTGGGAGGGACCCCCAGAGGACATCTAGTCCACCTCCATTCAACCCCTCCTGACCGATGGTCACCCAGCCTCTGCTTAAAGACACCCTGAGACAGAGACTCCACCTGACTCCAAGTCAGTCTCCCTTCCACTCGAGTTGGGAGGGACCCCCAGAGGTCATCTAGTCCACCCCATCCAATCCTTCCTGACCGATGGCCACTCAACCTCTGCTCCAAGACCCCCAGAGACAGAGGCTCCACTGGACTCCCAGAAGAGTCAGAAGGGGCCCCCAAAGGCCATCCGGATCACCCCATCCGATCCCTCCTAACCAATGGCCACACAGCCTCTGCTTAAAGACCCCCCAAGATGAAGGCAGTCTCCCTTCCACTCGAGTTGGGAGGGACCCCCAGAGGACATCTAGTCCACCTCCATTCAACCCCTCCTGACCGATGGTCACCCAGCCTCTGCTTAAAGACACCCTGAGACAGAGACTCCACCTGACTCCAAGTCAGTCTCCCTTCCACTCGAGTTGGGAGGGACCCCCAGAGGTCATCTAGTCCACCCCATCCAATCCTTCCTGACCGATGGCCACTCAACCTCTGCTCCAAGACCCCCAGAGACAGAGGCTCCACTGGACTCCCAGAAGAGTCAGAAGGGGCCCCCAAAGGCCATCCGGATCACCCCATCCGATCCCTCCTAACCAATGGCCACACAGCCTCTGCTTAAAGACCCCCCAAGATGAAGGCAGTCTCCCTTCCACTCGAGTTGGGAGGGACCCCCAGAGGACATCTAGTCCACCTCCATTCAACCCCTCCTGACCGATGGTCACCCAGCCTCTGCTTAAAGACACCCTGAGACAGAGACTCCACCTGACTCCAAGTCAGTCTCCCTTCCACTCGAGTTGGGAGGGACCCCCAGAGGTCATCTAGTCCACCCCATCCAATCCTTCCTGACCGATGGCCACTCAACCTCTGCTCCAAGACCCCCAGAGACAGAGGCTCCACTGGACTCCCAGAAGAGTCAGAAGGGGCCCCCAAAGGCCATCCGGATCACCCCATCCGATCCCTCCTAACCAATGGCCACACAGCCTCTGCTTAAAGACCCCCCAAGATGAAGGCAGTCTCCCTTCCACTCGAGTTGGGAGGGACCCCCAGAGGACATCTAGTCCACCTCCATTCAACCCCTCCTGACCGATGGTCACCCAGCCTCTGCTTAAAGACACCCTGAGACAGAGACTCCACCTGACTCCAAGTCAGTCTCCCTTCCACTCGAGTTGGGAGGGACCCCCAGAGGTCATCTAGTCCACCCCATCCAATCCTTCCTGACCGATGGCCACTCAACCTCTGCTCCAAGACCCCCAGAGACAGAGACTCCACTGGACTCCCAGAAGAGTCAGAAGGGGCCCCCAAAGGCCATCCGGATCACCCCATCCGATCCCTCCTAACCAATGGCCACACAGCCTCTGCTTAAAGACCCCCCAAGATGAAGGCAGTCTCCCTTCCACTCGAGTTGGGAGGGACCCCCAGAGGACATCTAGTCCACCTCCATTCAACCCCTCCTGACCGATGGTCACCCAGCCTCTGCTTAAAGACACCCTGAGACAGAGACTCCACCTGACTCCAAGTCAGTCTCCCTTCCACTCGAGTTGGGAGGGACCCCCAGAGGTCATCTAGTCCACCCCATCCAATCCTTCCTGACCGATGGCCACTCAACCTCTGCTCCAAGACCCCCAGAGACAGAGGCTCCACTGGACTCCCAGAAGAGTCAGAAGGGGCCCCCAAAGGCCATCCGGATCACCCCATCCGATCCCTCCTAACCAATGGCCACACAGCCTCTGCTTAAAGACCCCCCAAGATGAAGGCAGTCTCCCTTCCACTCGAGTTGGGAGGGACCCCCAGAGGACATCTAGTCCACCTCCATTCAACCCCTCCTGACCGATGGTCACCCAGCCTCTGCTTAAAGACACCCTGAGACAGAGACTCCACCTGACTCCAAGTCAGTCTCCCTTCCACTCGAGTTGGGAGGGACCCCCAGAGGTCATCTAGTCCACCCCATCCAATCCTTCCTGACCGATGGCCACTCAACCTCTGCTCCAAGACCCCCAGAGACAGAGGCTCCACTGGACTCCCAGAAGAGTCAGAAGGGGCCCCCAAAGGCCATCCGGATCACCCCATCCGATCCCTCCTAACCAATGGCCACACAGCCTCTGCTTAAAGACCCCCCAAGATGAAGGCAGTCTCCCTTCCACTCGAGTTGGGAGGGACCCCCAGAGGACATCTAGTCCACCTCCATTCAACCCCTCCTGACCGATGGTCACCCAGCCTCTGCTTAAAGACACCCTGAGACAGAGACTCCACCTGACTCCAAGTCAGTCTCCCTTCCACTCGAGTTGGGAGGGACCCCCAGAGGTCATCTAGTCCACCCCATCCAATCCTTCCTGACCGATGGCCACTCAACCTCTGCTCCAAGACCCCCAGAGACAGAGACTCCACTGGACTCCCAGAAGAGTCAGAAGGGGCCCCCAAAGGCCATCCGGATCACCCCATCCGATCCCTCCTAACCAATGGCCACACAGCCTCTGCTTAAAGACCCCCCAAGATGAAGGCAGTCTCCCTTCCACTCGAGTTGGGAGGGACCCCCAGAGGACATCTAGTCCACCTCCATTCAACCCCTCCTGACCGATGGTCACCCAGCCTCTGCTTAAAGACACCCTGAGACAGAGACTCCACCTGACTCCAAGTCAGTCTCCCTTCCACTCGAGTTGGGAGGGACCCCCAGAGGTCATCTAGTCCACCCCATCCAATCCTTCCTGACCGATGGCCACTCAACCTCTGCTCCAAGACCCCCAGAGACAGAGACTCCACTGGACTCCCAGAAGAGTCAGAAGGGGCCCCCAAAGGCCATCCGGATCACCCCATCCGATCCCTCCTAACCAATGGCCACACAGCCTCTGCTTAAAGACCCCCCAAGATGAAGGCAGTCTCCCTTCCACTCGAGTTGGGAGGGACCCCCAGAGGACATCTAGTCCACCTCCATTCAACCCCTCCTGACCGATGGTCACCCAGCCTCTGCTTAAAGACACCCTGAGACAGAGACTCCACCTGACTCCAAGTCAGTCTCCCTTCCACTCGAGTTGGGAGGGACCCCCAGAGGTCATCTAGTCCACCCCATCCAATCCTTCCTGACCGATGGCCACTCAACCTCTGCTCCAAGACCCCCAGAGACAGAGGCTCCACTGGACTCCCAGAAGAGTCAGAAGGGGCCCCCAAAGGCCATCCGGATCACCCCATCCGATCCCTCCTAACCAATGGCCACACAGCCTCTGCTTAAAGACCCCCCAAGATGAAGGCAGTCTCCCTTCCACTCGAGTTGGGAGGGACCCCCAGAGGACATCTAGTCCACCTCCATTCAACCCCTCCTGACCGATGGTCACCCAGCCTCTGCTTAAAGACACCCTGAGACAGAGACTCCACCTGACTCCAAGTCAGTCTCCCTTCCACTCGAGTTGGGAGGGACCCCCAGAGGTCATCTAGTCCACCCCATCCAATCCTTCCTGACCGATGGCCACTCAACCTCTGCTCCAAGACCCCCAGAGACAGAGGCTCCACTGGACTCCCAGAAGAGTCAGAAGGGGCCCCCAAAGGCCATCCGGATCACCCCATCCGATCCCTCCTAACCAATGGCCACACAGCCTCTGCTTAAAGACCCCCCAAGATGAAGGCAGTCTCCCTTCCACTCGAGTTGGGAGGGACCCCCAGAGGACATCTAGTCCACCTCCATTCAACCCCTCCTGACCGATGGTCACCCAGCCTCTGCTTAAAGACACCCTGAGACAGAGACTCCACCTGACTCCAAGTCAGTCTCCCTTCCACTCGAGTTGGGAGGGACCCCCAGAGGTCATCTAGTCCACCCCATCCAATCCTTCCTGACCGATGGCCACTCAACCTCTGCTCCAAGACCCCCAGAGACAGAGACTCCACTGGACTCCCAGAAGAGTCAGAAGGGGCCCCCAAAGGCCATCCGGATCACCCCATCCGATCCCTCCTAACCAATGGCCACACAGCCTCTGCTTAAAGACCCCCCAAGATGAAGGCAGTCTCCCTTCCACTCGAGTTGGGAGGGACCCCCAGAGGACATCTAGTCCACCTCCATTCAACCCCTCCTGACCGATGGTCACCCAGCCTCTGCTTAAAGACACCCTGAGACAGAGACTCCACCTGACTCCAAGTCAGTCTCCCTTCCACTCGAGTTGGGAGGGACCCCCAGAGGTCATCTAGTCCACCCCATCCAATCCTTCCTGACCGATGGCCACTCAACCTCTGCTCCAAGACCCCCAGAGACAGAGACTCCACTGGACTCCCAGAAGAGTCAGAAGGGGCCCCCAAAGGCCATCCGGATCACCCCATCCGATCCCTCCTAACCAATGGCCACACAGCCTCTGCTTAAAGACCCCCCAAGATGAAGGCAGTCTCCCTTCCACTCGAGTTGGGAGGGACCCCCAGAGGACATCTAGTCCACCTCCATTCAACCCCTCCTGACCGATGGCCACTCAGCCTTTGCTTAAAATCCCCAGAGACGGAGACTCCACTGGACTCGCCAGGAGAGTAGGAAGCCCCCCCCCAAAGACCACCCAATCCCTCCCCCTTCTTTCCATCAGGTAAGACGCCATTGGGCGCCTCTGTTTTGGACAGGACTCACCTCCGAAGACGTAGAGCCAATTGTCCACTACGGCCGCCGCGTGTCCAGCCAGGCCTCCCGGCGGAGGGGGTCCGGAGATGTTGGAAGGCCGCATCTCTTGCCAGCGTCCCTCTCGGGGCAAGTACGCCCACACGTCGTTGGCCAGGCGCCCCGAGGCCAGCTCGCCCCCAAAGAGGACCAGCGACCCCTCCCAGGACACGGCCACGTGCGAGTGGCGGGCCGACTGCAGAGCGAGAGAACAGAAGGTCAAGAGGGAGGGCGGACCCCGAGTTATAAGTGTTGGGGTTCAGCCAGATGATGAGGAGGGGTTTGGGGGTTCAGGGCCTGATGGTACTGAGGGAACGGAGGGGGCTTTGGAGCAAGAGGCTGTTGCTGAGACACAGCGTGACAGTGGAATCCAACAAAGACCAAAACACGAACGTGAACCCCAAAACAAGTCCAAGAAGCAAGGAGCAAGGCACGACGTTGCTTGACCTAAAATCCCAACAGCAATCTCACTAATTCAAGGACTGCAAAACAAGAACGCATTCTTTGACCCTGAGAGGGCTGCAGCTGCTTAGATGTATATACATAGGTGTATATGTATATTTGTTTGTGTGTGTTTTATATATATACTAGCTGTACCCTGCCACGCGTTGCTGTGGTCTACAGTAAGAAGTTTTGAAGTAGAGGTAGATATCTGGACTGTTATGAAAGAGAGGTATTTTTTATTTCAGTGATGGTCACTCTTTGGATTGTGAGAAGTTTTGTTGCCAAATTTGGAGTCATTTGGCACTGTAGGTTTTTTTTTTGTTTTTAAGGTACTCATTATGCACAGAGTATTTATATTTATATAGATATATATGATAGAGATAGTATCATAAATTGGGAAGGGACCCCCAAAGGCCATCCAGTCCAGCCTTGTTTTGAACTGTTAGTCGACTGAAAATCCGACACTTGTAACTTGGGGACAGCTTGTGTATGTATATGTATATTTGTGTGTGTGTGTGTGTGTATATATATATATATGATAGAGATAGTATCATAAATTGGGAAGGGACCCCCAAAGGCCATCCAGTCCAGCCTTGTTTTGAACTGTTAGTCGACTGAAAATCCGACACTTGTAACTTGGGGACAGCTTGTGTATGTATATGTATATTTGTGTGTGTGTGTGTGTGTATATATATATATATGATAGAGATAGTATCATAAATTGGGAAGGGGCCCCCAAAGGCCATCCAGTCCAGCCTTGTTTTGAACTGTTAGTCGACTGAAAATCCGACACTTGTAACTTGGGGACAGCTTGTGTATGTATATGTATATTTGTGTGTGTGTGTGTGTGTATATATATATATATGATAGAGATAGTATCATAAATTGGGAAGGGGCCCCCAAAGGCCATCCAGTCCAGCCTTGTTTTGAACTGTTAGTCGACTGAAAATCCGACACTTGTAACTTGGGGACAGCTTGTGTATGTATATGTATATTTGTGTGTGTGTGTGTGTGTATATATATATATATGATAGAGATAGTATCATAAATTGGGAAGGGGCCCCCAAAGGCTATCCAGTCCATCTCCCTTCCTTCTACCTGGCAGAAAACAGGTATGCCCTCCAGCCATAGACATGACTGAGGTACAGGCAGTCCCAGGTACAGGTGTGTCCTTAAGCTGAATTCGTTTGGAAGTCAATAATATAAAGATAAAACAATGACATAATAATAATAATAATAATAATATAAAAGTAAAGGTTTTCCATTATTATTATTATTATTATTAAATATAACATAATAATAATATAAAATATGATATAATGATGATGATGATGACGATGATATAATGCTATAATAATAATAATAATAATAATAATAATAGCTACTTGTCGGGAAGCCATTCCCCTCCTGTCTACATTGTGGAAATAGTAAGCAAGTTCTGAATACTAATCATCATCACCATCATGATGATGTTGTTCTAATTGTTTTGCAGAACTAATAGCAAAACTAATAATAATAATGAAGGGCCTACCGGAGAGGGACTGAGCACCCGCCGGTGCCAGACGTTAGTGGTGAAGTTATAGAAAACTAAGTCTCCCAGGGCCGTGTTGAGGTCCAAACCTACGGGAACGAAGCAGAAAACAGAATGGGAAGCCAAGGAGACCCTCGTTTTGGGGAGAAGCTGCATCTCTTTGTCCTTGTTTGCTGTCGTTCGATCCCGATTCATCCTTCCTTCAAAGCACTTTATGCCAATAATATATTATATTATATTATATTAGCCAACCCCTGCCATGCCCCTCGATATTTCGAAAATCTACAGATAATAGAATTTGATTAGCATATTTATTTTTATTTATTTATTTACAGTTCTTATATTCCGCCCTTCTCCTCACCCCGCAGGGGACTCAGGGCGGATTACAGTAAACACATATATGGCAAACATTCAATGCCAGTTTGACAAACAACATTTAACAGACAAAGGCTATTTAACTTTTTTCTGGCCGCCGGGGGAGCTGCTGCTTTTCATCGTCCATCAACGACACCGATGAAGTTCTTCCGCATTCCACATTCCCCGGAGTCTTCTTTCTTTATGGCCTCATAAATTAGTTAAATTTAGCCTCCCACACAAGGTGGTACCTTATTTTCCTACTTGACAGATGCAACTGTCTTTCGGGTTGCAAAGGTCGACAACGGGCTACACAATGGCTGGACACCCACTCCAGCCCGGGCTGGCTTCGAACTCATGACCTTTTGGTCAGAGTGATCTTAATGCAGCTGACACTCAGCCAGCTGCGCCACATAGCTATCATATCTAATAATAATAATAATAATAATAATAATAATAATAGAGCATGAAAACCTCCCAATAGTGTGAGACCCTATGTAGTGAAGGGCTGCCCCTCCTGGCCTCTGAAGACATAAATATGATATAACAATAATATTATTATAATGATAAGAAAGCCCCCCTGATCTCCGATGTAGATATAATAATAATAATAATAATAATAATAATAATAATAATAATAAAAATGAGCACGAAAGCCCCTCTGATCTCCAAAAATGTAAATATTATAATAATAATAATACAAGAGCACGAAAGCCCCTCTGATCTCCAAAGATGTAGATGATAATAATAATAATGAGTATGAAAGCCCCTCTTATCTCCAAAAATGTAAATATAATAATAATAATAATAATAATAATAATAATAATACAAGAGCACGAAAGCCCCCTGATCTCCAAAAATGTAAATATAATAATAATAATAATACAAGAGCACGAAAGCCCCCTGATCTCCAAAAATGTAAATATAATAATAATAATAATAATAATAATAATACAAGACACGAAAGCCCCCTGATCTCCAAAAGTAGATGATATAATAATAATAATGAGATATATTAATGATAGAGTATGAAAGCCCCTCTTATCTCCAAAAATATAATATAATAATAATAATAATAATAATAATAATAATAATAATACAAGAGCACGAAAGCCCCCTGATCTCCAAAAATGTAAATATAATAATAATAATAATAATAATAATAATAATAATATAATACAAGAGCACGAAAGCCCCTCTGATCTCCAAAGATGTAGATGATAATAATAATAATGAGTATGAAAGCCCCTCTTATCTCCAAAAATGTAAATATAATAATAATAATAATAATAATAATACAAGAGCACGAAAGCCCCCTGATCTCCAAAAATGTAAATATAATAATAATAATAATAATAATAATAATAATACAAGAGCACGAAAGCCCCTCTGATCTCCAAAGATGTAGATGATAATAATAATAATGAGTATGAAAGCCCCTCTTATCTCCAAAAATGTAAATATAATAATAATAATAATAATAATAATAATACAAGAGCACGAAAGCCCCCTGATCTCCAAAAATGTAAATATAATAATAATAATAATAATAATACAAGAGCACGAAAGCCCCTCTGATCTCCAAAGATGTAGATGATAATAATAATAATGAGTATGAAAGCCCCTCTTATCTCCAAAAATGTAAATATAATAATAATAATAATAATAATAATACAAGAGCACGAAAGCCCCCTGATCTCCAAAAATGTAAATATAATAATAATAATAATAATAATAATAATAATACAAGAGCACGAAAGCCCCTCTGATCTCCAAAGATGTAGATGATAATAATAATAATGAGTATGAAAGCCCCTCTTATCTCCAAAAATGTAAATATAATAATAATAATAATAATAATAATAATAATACAAGAGCACGAAAGCCCCCTGATCTCCAAAAATGTAAATATAATAATAATAATAATAATAATAATAATAATACAAGAGCACGAAAGCCCCTCTGATCTCCAAAGATGTAGATGATAATAATAATAATGAGTATGAAAGCCCCTCTTATCTCCAAAAATGTAAATATAATAATAATAATAATAATAATAATAATAATAATAATACAAGAGCACGAAAGCCCCCTGATCTCCAAAAATGTAAATATAATAATAATAATAATAATAATAATAATAATACAAGAGCACGAAAGCCCCCTGATCTCCAAAAATGTAAATATAATAATAATAATAATGATGATGATAGTAATAGAGCCCAAAAGCCCCTCTGATCTCCGAAGATGTAAATATAATAATAATAATAATAATAATAATAATACAAGAGCACGAAAGCCCCCTTAGAATAATGGAGTAATAGGATAATAATAATAATAATACGAGGGCCCGAAGGCTGCCCTGACCTCCGAAGACGTAGAGCGCGCCAGTGGAAGGCAGGAAGGCCCCTGCGGCGGCGGTGCGTGGGCGGAAGGCGGGGTCCCTCCCGCTGACGTTGTACCACTTCCCGGCCCCCTGGTTCTCGCTCAGGGCCAAGTCGCAGGCCTGCCCCACAAAGCCCCCGTCGCAGCGGCACCGACCCAAATCCTGGGGAGAAACACAAATTAGAAAAAGGATCTGTTTGGAAGTGTTATTCCTGCTTAATTGTGCAATCCTTACTTCGGGAGTAGTTGCTATCCTCCAGAAACTCAGTTGTTTCTTTGGCGGAGTGGGTTAAGACTCAATAATAACTGATTCATTGCAAAACAAACAGCGAAATGTGCTGTTGCAGGATGGTGTCCCTCCCACAAAAGAAAACGCATTGGCAGTTGAATAAACGGAAGTGTTATTCCTGCTTAATTGTGCAATCCTTACTTCGGGAGTAGTTGCTATCCTCCAGAAACTCTGTTGTTTCTTTGGCAGAGTTGGTTAAGACTCAATAATAAGCGATTCATTGCAAAACAAACAGCAAAATGTGCTGTTGCAGGATGGTGTCCCTCCCACAAAAGAAAACGCATTGGCAGTTGAATAAACGGAAGCGTTATCCTTGCTTAATTGTGCAATCCTCACTTCGGGAGTAGTTGCTATCCTCCAGAAACTCTGTTGTTTCTTTGGCAGAGTTGGTTAAGACTCAATAATAAGCGATTCATTGCAAAACAAACAGCAAAATGTGCTGTTGCAGGATGGTGTCCCTCCCACAAAAGAAAACGCATTGGCAGTTGAATAAACGGAAGCGTTATCCTTGCTTAATTGTGCAATCCTTACTTCGGGAGTAGTTGCTATCCTCCAGAAACTCTGTTGTTTCTTTGGCAGAGTTGGTTAAGACTCAATAATAAGCGATTCATTGCAAAACAAACAGCAAAATGTGCTGTTGCAGGATGGTGTCCCTCCCACAAAAGAAAACGCATTGGCAGTTGAATAAACGGAAGCGTTATCCTTGCTTAATTGTGCAATCCTTACTTCGGGAGTAGTTGCTATCCTCCAGAAACTCTGTTGTTTCTTTGGCAGAGTTGGTTAAGACTCAATAATAAGCGATTCATTGCAAAACAAACAGCAAAATGTGCTGTTGCAGGATGGTGTCCCTCCCACAAAAGACAACACATTGGCAGTTGAATAAACAGAAGCGTTATTCCTGCTTAATTGTGCAATCCTCACTTCGGGAGTAGTTGCTATCCTCCAGAAACTTGGTTGTTTATTTATTTATTTATTTATTTACTTTATTTGTATACCGCCGTTTCTCAGCCTAGCCGGCGACTCAACGCGGTTTACAACAGGATAAAAACAGTCAACAATCTACAATTCAAAACAAAAGAGCACAATACACAATATTACACAACAGCAACAACCAAATGCGTCTCATAACTAGAGTCGTGATCCAAAATTCATCGTCCATATTTCAATTCCTGTGATCGTCACATTCATTGCACTGATTAATCAAAGGCCTGTTCGAACATCCAAGTTTTTAATCTTCTACGAAACACCATGAGCGAGGGAGCTGATCTTACCTCCATGGGAAGGGCGTTCCATAGCCGAGGGGCCACCACAGAAAAGGCCCTGTCTCTCGTCCCCACCAGCCGCACCTGTGAAGCAGGCGGGATAGAGAGCAGGACCTCCCCAGAAGATCTTAGGGTCCTGGCAGGCTGATAGGCAGAGATACGTTCGGATAGGTAACTTGGGCCAGAACCGTTTAGGGCTTTAAAGGCCAACGCCAGCACTTTGAATTGAGCCCGGTAGCGGATCAGCAGCCAGTGGAGCTGGCGCAGCAGAGGAGTGGTATGCTCCCTGCGCTCCGCTCCTGTTAGTATCATGGCTGCCGACGTTGGACTAATTGGAGCTTCCGAGCCGTCTTCAAAGGCAACCCCACGTAGAGAGCGTTGCAGTAGTCTAAACGGGATGTAACCAGAGCGTGGACTACCGTGGCCAAGTCAGACTTCCCAAGGTACGGGCGCAGTTGGAGCACGAGTTTTAACTGTGCGAATGCTCCCCTGGTCACCGCCGAAACCTGAGGTTCCAGGCTCAGCGATGAGTCCAGGATCACACCCAAACTGCGAACCTGCGTCTTCAGGGGGAGTGAGACCCCATCCAACACAGGCTGTAACCCTAACCCTGTTCGGCCTTGCGACTGACCAGGAGTACCTCTGTCTTGTCTGGATTCAACTTCAATTTGTTCGCCCCCATCCAGACCGTCACAGCGGCCAAGCACCGGTTCAGGACCTCGACAGCCTCCTTAGTAGCAGGTGGAAAGGAGTGACAGAGTTGGACATCATCTGCGTACAGGTGACATCGCACTCCGAAACTCCGGATGATCTCACCCAGCGGCTTCATGTAGATGTTAAACAACATGGGAGACAGTATTGAACCCTGAGGAACCCCACAAGACAAAGGTTGTGGGGTTGAACAGGAGTCTCCCAGTAACACCTTCTGAGACCGACCCTCGAGGAATGAGCGGAGCCACTGCAGAACAGTCCCTCCAAGACCCATCCCCGCGAGGCGTCCCAGAAGGATACCGTGGTCGACGGTATCGAAGGCCGCTGAGAGGTCCAGCAGCACCAACAGGGACACACTCCCCCTGTCGAGCTCCCGGCGCAGATCATCCACTAAGGCGACCAAGGCTGTCTCGGTACCATGTCCCGGCCTAAAGCCAGACTGTGCCGGGTCTAGATAATCCGTGTCTACCAAGAATACCTGGAGTTGTGAGGCCACCACACGTTCCAGGACTTTGCCCAAAAAGGGGAGATTGGAAACAGGCCGATAGTTGACGAATTGAGTGGGGTCCAGTGATGGTTTTTTCAACAGCGGTTTTATTACAGCTTGCTTTAAGCTGGCTGGAATTTTGCCTTCCCAAAGGGAGGCATTAACCACCACCTTCACCCACTCGGCCAATCCCCCTCTGGCCTCCTTTAGAAGCCAGGATGGGCAGGGGTCTAGGATGCATGTGGTAGCTCTCATTCCTCCAAGCACCTTGTCCACATCCTCGGGTTTCACCAATTGAAATGAATCCATCAAAACTGGACAAGCAGATGCTCGTGTTACATCCTCAGAGACTGCCGTTAATATGGTGTCCAGACCGGAGCGGATCAAAGCGACTTTGTCTGCAAAGAACTGAGCAAAGGCTTCACAGCGAGCTGCCGAGTCATCAGGGCACCCATCCTGCGTGGTGGGATTTAAAAGGCCTCTGACAACTCGGAACAGTTCAGCCGGACGGTTCTTTGCAGACGCAATAGTGGCCGCAAAGAAAGTCTTCTTTGCGGCTTTTATTGCCGCGGCATATGCCCTTAAAAAGGACACAAACCGTGTTCGATTTGGCTCGCTCGGATCCGAACGCCACACGCTCTCTAGTTCCCTCTTCTTTCGCTTCAACGCTGCCAGCTCCTCAGTAAACCAAGGAGCTGGTTTAGCTCGGCTACTTGAGAGGGGACGTTCTGGAGCGATCGTGTCTATTGCCCTGGCCATCTCCCCATTCCAGAGAGCGACCAGGGCATCGACAGGATCACCAACCGAGGCGGCGGGAAACTCCCCAAGAGCCGTCAGGAATCCATCCGGATCCATAAGCCTCCTGGGGCAGACCAGGAGGCTTATGGAGGATTCTTTGGCAGAGTTGGTTAACACTCAATAGTAAGTGATTCACTGCAAAACAAACAGCGAAATGTGCTGCTGCAGGATGGTGTCCCTCCCACAAAAGACAACACATTGGCAGTTGAATAAACTTTCCCCATGTTTTTAGGACAGAACCACATTGGAAATGACATTATTTATATTTTCGTGTCACGAGCGACTTGAGAAACTGCAAGTCGCTTCTGGTGTGAGTCAATTGGCCTGCTGCAAGAACGTTGCCCAGGGGCCACTGCTTGGATGTTTTACCATCCTTGTAGGAGGCTTCTCTCATGTCCCCACATGGGGAGCTGGAGCTGACAAGAGGGAGCTCACCCGCACCCTCCCCGGATTCGAACCTCCGACATGCCGGCACAAGGGTTTAACCCACTTTGCCACTGATAACCCAGGAACGAAAGCAATGATGATAATAATAATCAATATCCCCGCCAAGAGGTGTGTGCCTGACCTGGCTGCAGGTGCCGTGGAGGAGGCAGTAGGTGGAGCACTGGGGGAGGGAGCAGTCGGGGCCGCCCCACCCTCGGCTGCAGATGCACCGCCCGTCCTGGTCGCACTGCCCGCGCCCCGAGCAGCCCCGCGGGCACAGCGAGACCCAGAAGGAGGCATTGAAGCCCAGCAGGTTGTAGTTGGCATCGCTGAAGAGGTGCAGGAGCATCTGCCGGGGTGGATCGAAAGACCCGTCAGGCACAGAAATACACACATACCGTATATACTCAAGTATAAGCCGACCCGAATATAAGCCAAGGAACCTAATTTTGCCACAAAAACTGGGAAAACGTATTGACTCGAGTGTAAGCCGAGGGTGGGAAACGCAGCCACTACGTAAATTTCAAAATAAAAATAGATACTAATAAATAGAGTAAAATAATAAATGTAATAAAATAATAGAGTAAAATAATGAAAATGTAATAATAACAATAATAGAGTAAAATAGTAAATGTAATATTAGAGTAAAATAATAAAAGTAATAAAAATAACAGTGTAAAAGAATGTAAATGTCATAATTTCAATAATAATAGAGTAAAATAATAAAAGTAATAAAATAATAGAGTAAAATAATGTAAATGTCATAATATCAATAATAATAGAATAAATAATAATGTAATAAATAATAGAGTAAAATAATAAATGATAATAAATAACAGAGTAAAATAATAAAAATAATAGAGTAATAATGTAAATGTAATAATAATAATAGAATAAAATAAAAATGATAATAATAATAGTAAAAAATAATAAAATAATAGAGTAAAATAATAATGTAATAATAATAATATAAATAATAAAAGTAAAACAATAAAAATAATGTAAATGTCATAATAACAATAGTAGAGTAAAATAACAAATGAATAATGAGCAAAATAAAGTAATAAAAATAATAGAGTAAAATAATGTAAATGTAATAATAACAATAATAGTAGAATAAAATAATAAATGTAATAAGTATAAAAATAAAAGTAATAAATAATAGAGTAAAATAATGGAAATGTATAATAACAGTAATAATAGAGTAAAATAATAGATGTAATAATAATAGAGTATAATAATAATGTAATAATAAAATAGAGTAAAATAATAAATGTAATAATAGAGTAAAATAATGTATTAATAATATAATAATAGAGTAAAATATTAAATGTAATAAATAGAGTAAAATAATAAGTAATAAATAATAGAGTAAAAAAATATAAATAATAAAATAATAGAGTAAATAATAATAATAATAGAGTAAATAATAAATGTAATAAAATAATAATAGAGTAAAATAATGTAAATGTAATAATAGAATAAAATAAGAGTAATAAAAAATAATAGAGTAAAATAATGTAAATGTAATAACATCAATAATAAGAGTAAAATAATAAAAGTAATAAATAGATTAAAATAATGTAAATGTAATAATATCAATAATAATAGAGTAAAATAGTAAATGTAATAATAGAGTAGAATAATAAAAGTAATAAAAAATAGAGTAAAATAATGTAAATGTAATAATATCAATAATAATAGAGTAAAATAATAAATATTATAATAGAGTAAAATAATAAAAGTAATAAAAATAATAGAGTAAAATAACATAAATGTAATAATATCAATAATAATAGAGTAAAATAGTAAAGGTACTAATAGAGTAAAATAATAAAAGTAATAAAAAGAATAGAGTAAAATAACGTAAATGTAATAATATCAATAATAATAAAATAGTAAATGTAATAATAGAGTAAAATAATATAAGAAATAAAAAGAATAGAGTAAAATAATAAAATAAAAAATAATAGGGTAAAATAATGTAAATGACATAATATCAATAATAATAGAGTAAATTAATAAATGTAATAATAATAGAGTAAAATAATAAAAGTAATAAAAATAATAGAGTAAAATAATAAAATAAAAAATAATAGGGTAAAATAATGTAAATGTCATAATATCAATAATAATAGAGTAAAATAATAAATGTAATAATAATAGAGTAAAATAATAAAAGTAATAAAAATAATAGAGTAAAATAATAAAATAAAAAATAATAGGGTAAAATAATGTAAATGTCATAATATCAATAATAGAGTAAAATAATAAATGTAATAATAATAGAGTAAAATAATGTAAATGTCATAATATCAATATTAGAGTAAAATAATAAATGCAATAATAATAGACTAAAATAAAAAATGTAATAAAAATAATAGGGTGAAATAATGTTAATGTCATAATACAAATAATAAATAGAGTAAAATAATAAATGTAATAAAAATAATAATAGAGTAATACAATAAATATAATAAAATAATACTAATTACACAGTAAAAGGATAAATAATCTTGGCTCGAGTGTAAGTCCAGGGGAGCTTTTTCAGCCTAAAAAAGGGGCTAAAAAAACCCAGCTTATACTCGAGGATATATGGTATATACACAACCCCCTCCTCAAGGATGCTGGGGGGCACCACGAGGGGAGCGTTGCCCCCCTCCGAAGAGGGGTGCAGAATCCGAGGTTGGAAGGGACCCCCTTCCCTTGACCCCCGCGTGCCCCCCGCCCCCGTTACCTTCCCGGAGGTGGCCTCGATGGTGGGGGGGAGGGTGCTCCCGCTGAGGCTGGCCAGGAGGGGGCTGCGCGGGGAGTCCCCGTCGTACACAAACAGGTAGTCGTAGGTGCATTCCGTGTCCATGAACATGAAGCTCAGCAGGATGCGGTAGCTGCTGCTGGGCGCTGAGAAAGAGAAGAAATGGGGATTCAGGAAACACACACACATACGTGTGTGTATGCGTGTGTGTATACAGGCCACCCTCAAGTTACAAACATCAAAAGTACAAACTGAAGCTTTATCTGCAATGCTTGTTATCTTAGCCTCATTCTTAACTATGAGTCATTTGTAAGTCGGATGATTGTAACTTGGGGACGGTCTGGGTGTATGCATGTGTATGTATAGGTAAAGTAAAGGTTTTCCCCTGACATTAAGTCCAGTCGTGTCCGACTCTGGGGATTGGTGCTCATCTCCATTTCTAAGCCGAAGAGCTGTTGTCCATAGACACCTCCAAGGTCATGTGGCCGGCATGATTGCATGGATGACGTAAATAAATAAATACCGAAGCGGTACCTATTGATCTACTCACATTTGCATGCTTTTGAACTGCTAGGTTGGCAGAAGCTGGGGCTAACAGCGGGAGCTCACGCTGCTCCCCGGATTCAAACCTTGATCAGCAAGTTTAGCAGCTCAGTTGTTTAACCCACTGTGCCACCGGGAGCTCCAATGTGTATATACACAAAAACACACACACACATATATATACAAACACACACACACACATATATACACAAACACACACACACATATACAAACACACACACATATATATACACACAAACGCACACACATACATACAAACACACACACACATATATGAGATAGGTATAGTATCGTAGATTTGGAAGGGACCCCCAAAGGCCATCCAGTCCAGCCCTACTTGGACGGCCTGTATATACAAATCTGTATTTGGCTGGAGTTACACTTGAAAAAAAATGTCCCTGTTCTGACTTGCATACAAATTCAACTTAAGAACAAACCTTCAGATATGATCTTGTCCTTAACTCAGGGACTGGTGGTTATATATATATATATATATATATGTATGTATGTATGTATTTGGCTGGAGTTACACTTACGAAATGTCCCTGTTCTGACTTACATACAAATTCAACTTCAGAACCAAGCTACAGAACCGATCTTTTTCTGTAACTCAGGGACTGCCTGTATGTATATATGTGTATGTATGTGTGTATATATGTGTGTGTGTGTATATGTATGTATATATGTGTGTATGTGTGTAAATATATGTATGTATGTGTGTATATATATGTGTGTGTATATGTGTGTGTGTACGTATGTGTGTAGATATGTATGTATGCATGTGTGTATATATGTGTGTATGTATGTATGTAAGTGTGTGTATATGTGTGTGTATGTGTGTAAATATATTTATGTATGTTTGTGTATATACATGTGTGTGTGTGTGTGTGTGTGTATGGCTGGATCTGCCCTTCAGAGATGCCCCTGCCCCGCCTTGCTTGCAAATGCAACCCAGAGCCACACCTACCTTCCACCAGCCACTCGCAGTTCCCATTGACGGAGTAGTTGCCCGGCCCGTCCGTCACGAAACCCGATGCACCGCGCAGGACTTGCCGGTGTCCCTTGCAGTCGCCACCCTGGGACACACGGAAGCCAAGCAGGCTCAGAAGCAGCAGCAGCGCAAGGGCCAAAGGCCTCGGTCGGTAGCCACAGCAGTAGCTGGCGTCCATCATGTCTGCCAGAGCTCACTACCGTGCAACGGACAGAGCAGCGGCATGACGTTAGGTAGCCTAGTATTAAAAATAGGAACGAAAGGTATGTTATTATATGTCTTTCTATTACAACATGTCACCCTATGGTTTTTATTCCTGTGTTCTCAATGCCAATTCCTAATTCCTGTTTCCGCCACCTGCTTCTCTGGCCCTGGAACTCAACAAAAAAGCTCCTGTTTTGTAACAGGTTTCCTATGGGGTATGTTATTATATGTCCTTCTATTACAACATGTCACCCTATGGTTTTTATTCCTGTGTTCTCAATGCCAATTCCTAATTCCTGTTTCCGCCACCTGCTTCTCTGGCCCTGGAACTCAACAAAAAAGCTCCTGTTTTGTAACAGGTTTCCTATGGGGTATGTTATTATATGTCCTTCTATTACAACATGTCACACTATGGTTTTTGTTTCTGTGTTCTCAATGCCAATTCCTAATTCCTGTTTCCGCCACCTGCTTCTCTGGCCCTGGAACTCAACAAAAAAGCTCCTGTTTTGTAACAGGTTTCCTATGGGGTATGTTATTATATGTCCTTCTATTACAACATGTCACCCTATGGTTTTTATTCCTGTGTTCTCAATGCCAATTCCTAATTCCTGTTTCCGCCACCTGCTTCTCTGGCCCTGGAACTCAACAAAAAAGCTCCTGTTTTGTAACAGGTTTCCTATGGGGTATGTTATTATATGTCCTTCTATTACAACATGTCACACTATGGTTTTTATTCCTGTGTTCTCAATGCCAATTCCTAATTCCTGTTTCCGCCACCTGCTTCTCTGGCCCTGGAACTCAACAAAAAAGCTCCTGTTTTGTAACAGGTTTCCTATGGGGTATGTTATTATATGTCCTTCTATTACAACATGTCACCCTATGGTTTTTATTCCTGTGTTCTCAATGCCAATTCCTAATTCCTGTTTCCGCCACCTGCTTCTCTGGCCCTGGAACTCAACAAAAAAGCTCCTGTTTTGTAGCCTAGTATTAAAAATAGGAACGAGGGGTATGTTATTATATGTCCTTCTATTACAACATGTCACACTATGGTTTTTGTTTCTGTGTTCTCAATGCCAATTCCTAATTCCTGTTTCCGCCACCTGATTCTCTGGCCCTGGAACTCAACAAAAAAGCTCCTGTTTTGTAACAGGTTTCCTATGGGGTATGTTATTATATGTCCTTCTATTACAACATGTCACACTATGGTTTTTGTTTCTGTGTTCTCAATGCCAATTCCTAATTCCTGTTTCCGCCACCTGCTTCTCTGGCCCTGGAACTCAACAAAAAAGCTCCTGTTTTGTAACAGGTTTCCTATGGGGTATGTTATTATATGTCCTTCTATTACAACATGTCACCCTATGGTTTTTATTCCTGTGTTCTCAATGCCAATTCCTAATTCCTGTTTCCGCCACCTGCTTCTCTGGCCCTGGAACTCAACAAAAAAGCTCCTGTTTTGTAACAGGTTTCCTATGGGGTATGTTATTATATGTCCTTCTATTACAACATGTCACACTATGGTTTTTATTCCTGTGTTCTCAATGCCAATTCCTAATTCCTGTTTCCGCCACCTGATTCTCTGGCCCTGGAACTCAACAAAAAAGCTCCTGTTTTGTAACAGGTTTCCTATGGGGTATGTTATTATATGTCCTTCTATTACAACATGTCACACTATGGTTTTTGTTTCTGTGTTCTCAATGCCAATTCCTAATTCCTGTTTCCGCCACCTGATTCTCTGGCCCTGGAACTCAACAAAAAAGCTCCTGTTTTGTAACAGGTTTCCTATGGGGTATGTTATTATATGTCCTTCTATTACAACATGTCACACTATGGTTTTTGTTTCTGTGTTCTCAATGCCAATTCCTAATTCCTGTTTCCGCCACCTGATTCTCTGGCCCTGGAACTCAACAAAAAAGCTCCTGTTTTGTAACAGGTTTCCTATGGGGTATGTTATTATATGTCCTTCTATTACAACATGTCACACTATGGTTTTTGTTTCTGTGTTCTCAATGCCAATTCCTAATTCCTGTTTCCGCCACCTGATTCTCTGGCCCTGGAACTCAACAAAAAAGCTCCTGTTTTGTAACAGGTTTCCTATGGGGTATGTTATTATATGTCCTTCTATTACAACATGTCACCCTATGGTTTTTATTCCTGTGTTCTCAATGCCAATTCCTAATTCCTGTTTCCGCCACCTGATTCTCTGGCCCTGGAACTCAACAAAAAAGCTCCTGTTTTGTAACAGGTTTCCTATGGGGTATGTTATTATATGTCCTTCTATTACAACATGTCACACTATGGTTTTTATTCCTGTGTTCTCAATGCCAATTCCTAATTCCTGTTTCCGCCACCTGATTCTCTGGCCCTGGAACTCAACAAAAAAGCTTCTGTTTTGTAACAGGTTTCCTATGGGGTATGTTATTATATGTCCTTCTATTACAACATGTCACACTATGGTTTTTGTTTCTGTGTTCTCAATGCCAATTCCTAATTCCTGTTTCCGCCACCTGATTCTCTGGCCCTGGAACTCAACAAAAAAGCTCCTGTTTTGTAACAGGTTTCCTATGGGGTATGTTATTATATGTCCTTCTATTACAACATGTCACACTATGGTTTTTGTTTCTGTGTTCTCAATGCCAATTCCTAATTCCTGTTTCCGCCACCTGATTCTCTGGCCCTGGAACTCAACAAAAAAGCTCCTGTTTTGTAACAGGTTTCCTATGGGGTATGTTATTATATGTCCTTCTATTACAACATGTCACACTATGGTTTTTGTTTCTGTGTTCTCAATGCCAATTCCTAATTCCTGTTTCCGCCACCTGATTCTCTGGCCCTGGAACTCAACAAAAAAGCTCCTGTTTTGTAACAGGTTTCCTATGGGGTATGTTATTATATGTCCTTCTATTACAACATGTCACACTATGGTTTTTATTCCTGTGTTCTCAATGCCAATTCCTAATTCCTGTTTCCGCCACCTGCTTCTCTGGCCCTGGAACTCAACAAAAAAGCTCCTGTTTTGTAACAGGTTTCCTATGGGGTATGTTATTATATGTCCTTCTATTACAACATGTCACACTATGGTTTTTATTCCTGTGTTCTCAATGCCAATTCCTAATTCCTGTTTCCGCCACCTGATTCTCTGGCCCTGGAACTCAACAAAAAAGCTTCTGTTTTGTAACAGGTTTCCTATGGGGTATGTTATTATATGTCCTTCTATTACAACATGTCACACTATGGTTTTTGTTTCTGTGTTCTCAATGCCAATTCCTAATTCCTGTTTCCGCCACCTGATTCTCTGGCCCTGGAACTCAACAAAAAAGCTCCTGTTTTGTAACAGGTTTCCTATGGGGTATGTTATTATATGTCCTTCTATTACAACATGTCACCCTATGGTTTTTATTCCTGTGTTCTCAATGCCAATTCCTAATTCCTGTTTCCGCCACCTGATTCTCTGGCCCTGGAACTCAACAAAAAAGCTTCTGTTTTGTAACAGGTTTCCTATGGGGTATGTTATTATATGTCCTTCTATTACAACATGTCACACTATGGTTTTTGTTTCTGTGTTCTCAATGCCAATTCCTAATTCCTGTTTCCGCCACCTGCTTCTCTGGCCCTGGAACTCAACAAAAAAGCTCCTGTTTTGTAACAGGTTTCCTATGGGGTATGTTATTATATGTCCTTCTATTACAACATGTCACCCTATGGTTTTTATTCCTGTGTTCTCAATGCCAATTCCTAATTCCTGTTTCCGCCACCTGCTTCTCTGCCCTGGAACTCAACAAAAAAGCTCCTGTTTTGTAACAGGTTTCCTATGGGGTATGTTATTATATGTCCTTCTATTACAACATGTCACACTATGGTTTTTATTCCTGTGTTCTCAATGCCAATTCCTAATTCCTGTTTCCGCCACCTGATTCTCTGGCCCTGGAACTCAACAAAAAAGCTTCTGTTTTGTAACAGGTTTCCTATGGGGTATGTTATTATATGTCCTTCTATTACAACATGTCACACTATGGTTTTTGTTTCTGTGTTCTCAATGCCAATTCCTAATTCCTGTTTCCGCCACCTGATTCTCTGGCCCTGGAACTCAACAAAAAAGCTCCTGTTTTGTAACAGGTTTCCTATGGGGTATGTTATTATATGTCCTTCTATTACAACATGTCACACTATGGTTTTTGTTTCTGTGTTCTCAATGCCAATTCCTAATTCCTGTTTCCGCCACCTGATTCTCTGGCCCTGGAACTCAACAAAAAAGCTCCTGTTTTGTAACAGGTTTCCTATGGGGTATGTTATTATATGTCCTTCTATTACAACATGTCACCCTATGGTTTTTATTCCTGTGTTCTCAATGCCAATTCCTAATTCCTGTTTCCGCCACCTGCTTCTCTGGCCCTGGAACTCAACAAAAAAGCTCCTGTTTTGTAACAGGTTTCCTATGGGGTATGTTATTATATGTCCTTCTATTACAACATGTCACCCTATGGTTTTTATTCCTGTGTTCTCAATGCCAATTCCTAATTCCTGTTTCCGCCACCTGCTTCTCTGGCCCTGGAACTCAACAAAAAAGCTCCTGTTTTGTAACAGGTTTCCTATGGGGTATGTTATTATATGTCCTTCTATTACAACATGTCACACTATGGTTTTTATTCCTGTGTTCTCAATGCCAATTCCTAATTCCTGTTTCCGCCACCTGATTCTCTGGCCCTGGAACTCAACAAAAAAGCTTCTGTTTTGTAACAGGTTTCCTATGGGGTATGTTATTATATGTCCTTCTATTACAACATGTCACACTATGGTTTTTGTTTCTGTGTTCTCAATGCCAATTCCTAATTCCTGTTTCCGCCACCTGATTCTCTGGCCCTGGAACTCAACAAAAAAGCTCCTGTTTTGTAACAGGTTTCCTATGGGGTATGTTATTATATGTCCTTCTATTACAACATGTCACACTATGGTTTTTGTTTCTGTGTTCTCAATGCCAATTCCTAATTCCTGTTTCCGCCACCTGATTCTCTGGCCCTGGAACTCAACAAAAAAGCTCCTGTTTTGTAACAGGTTTCCTATGGGGTATGTTATTATATGTCCTTCTATTACAACATGTCACACTATGGTTTTTGTTTCTGTGTTCTCAATGCCAATTCCTAATTCCTGTTTCCGCCACCTGATTCTCTGGCCCTGGAACTCAACAAAAAAGCTCCTGTTTTGTAACAGGTTTCCTATGGGGTATGTTATTATATGTCCTTCTATTACAACATGTCACACTATGGTTTTTGTTTCTGTGTTCTCAATGCCAATTCCTAATTCCTGTTTCCGCCACCTGCTTCTCTGGCCCTGGAACTCAACAAAAAAGCTCCTGTTTTGTAACAGGTTTCCTATGGGGTATGTTATTATATGTCCTTCTATTACAACATGTCACCCTATGGTTTTTATTCCTGTGTTCTCAATGCCAATTCCTAATTCCTGTTTCCGCCACCTGCTTCTCTGGCCCTGGAACTCAACAAAAAAGCTCCTGTTTTGTAACAGGTTTCCTATGGGGTATGTTATTATATGTCCTTCTATTACAACATGTCACACTATGGTTTTTATTCCTGTGTTCTCAATGCCAATTCCTAATTCCTGTTTCCGCCACCTGATTCTCTGGCCCTGGAACTCAACAAAAAAGCTCCTGTTTTGTAACAGGTTTCCTATGGGGTATGTTATTATATGTCCTTCTATTACAACATGTCACACTATGGTTTTTGTTTCTGTGTTCTCAATGCCAATTCCTAATTCCTGTTTCCGCCACCTGATTCTCTGGCCCTGGAACTCAACAAAAAAGCTCCTGTTTTGTAACAGGTTTCCTATGGGGTATGTTATTATATGTCCTTCTATTACAACATGTCACACTATGGTTTTTGTTTCTGTGTTCTCAATGCCAATTCCTAATTCCTGTTTCCGCCACCTGATTCTCTGGCCCTGGAACTCAACAAAAAAGCTCCTGTTTTGTAACAGGTTTCCTATGGGGTATGTTATTATATGTCCTTCTATTACAACATGTCACACTATGGTTTTTGTTTCTGTGTTCTCAATGCCAATTCCTAATTCCTGTTTCCGCCACCTGATTCTCTGGCCCTGGAACTCAACAAAAAAGCTCCTGTTTTGTAACAGGTTTCCTATGGGGTATGTTATTATATGTCCTTCTATTACAACATGTCACCCTATGGTTTTTATTCCTGTGTTCTCAATGCCAATTCCTAATTCCTGTTTCCGCCACCTGCTTCTCTGGCCCTGGAACTCAACAAAAAAGCTCCTGTTTTGTAACAGGTTTCCTATGGGGTATGTTATTATATGTCCTTCTATTACAACATGTCACACTATGGTTTTTATTCCTGTGTTCTCAATGCCAATTCCTAATTCCTGTTTCCGCCACCTGATTCTCTGGCCCTGGAACTCAACAAAAAAGCTCCTGTTTTGTAACAGGTTTCCTATGGGGTATGTTATTATATGTCCTTCTATTACAACATGTCACACTATGGTTTTTGTTTCTGTGTTCTCAATGCCAATTCCTAATTCCTGTTTCCGCCACCTGATTCTCTGGCCCTGGAACTCAACAAAAAAGCTCCTGTTTTGTAACAGGTTTCCTATGGGGTATGTTATTATATGTCCTTCTATTACAACATGTCACACTATGGTTTTTGTTTCTGTGTTCTCAATGCCAATTCCTAATTCCTGTTTCCGCCACCTGATTCTCTGGCCCTGGAACTCAACAAAAAAGCTCCTGTTTTGTAACAGGTTTCCTATGGGGTATGTTATTATATGTCCTTCTATTACAACATGTCACACTATGGTTTTTGTTTCTGTGTTCTCAATGCCAATTCCTAATTCCTGTTTCCGCCACCTGATTCTCTGGCCCTGGAACTCAACAAAAAAGCTCCTGTTTTGTAACAGGTTTCCTATGGGGTATGTTATTATATGTCCTTCTATTACAACATGTCACACTATGGTTTTTGTTTCTGTGTTCTCAATGCCAATTCCTAATTCCTGTTTCCGCCACCTGCTTCTCTGGCCCTGGAACTCAACAAAAAAGCTCCTGTTTTGTAGCAGGTTTCCTATGGGGTATGTTATTATATGTCCTTCTATTACAACATGTCACCCTATGGTTTTTATTCCTGTGTTCTCAATGCCAATTCCTAATTCCTGTTTCCGCCACCTGCTTCTCTGGCCCTGGAACTCAACAAAAAAGCTCCTGTTTTGTAACAGGTTTCCTATGGGGTATGTTATTATATGTCCTTCTATTACAACATGTCACCCTATGGTTTTTATTCCTGTGTTCTCAATGCCAATTCCTAATTCCTGTTTCCGCCACCTGCTTCTCTGGCCCTGGAACTCAACAAAAAAGCTCCTGTTTTGTAGCAGGTTTCCTATGGGGTATGTTATTATATGTCCTTCTATTACAACATGTCACACTATGGTTTTTGTTTCTGTGTTCTCAATGCCCGTTCCTAATTAGTTCTATTCTAAAAACAGGGGGAAAGTTTATTAAACTGCAAAACTTTGTTTCTGCAAGAGGGAGGGAGGGAGGGAGCGCATCCGCTGCAGCACGTTTTGACGCAGTTTTGCAATCAATCTCTCAGCATCGAGTCCCAACCAATTGTATGAGGCACCAAAAAACAAAGTTTCTGGAGTAGAACAACAACTTGCAAAGTAAAACAGGAAATAACCCTTTCCAACCAGGAAAATAACAATAAGTGGACGGTGAAGCGGCAGCTCCCCCGGTGGCCGGAACAGAGCATACCCTCATGAAGCTGGAAAGCTGGAATGTTAAATAGCCTCTATGTCTGTCTATATGTATTGTATGTCTAAATGGCATTGAATGTTTGTCATGTTATATGTGGACTCTAATCCACCCTGGGTCAGAAGGGCGGAATAGAAATACTGCAAATAAATAAATACATTTCTTATCTGCTCCTCACCAAAATGCAAGGCAGGATAGCAGATGCATACATAAATAAAATATAATAATATTATTGAAGGCACTTATATTTACTTATTTTATTTATTTACTTACGACATTTCTATGCCGCCCTTCTCACCCCAAAGGGGATTCAGTACAGCTCACAAGTAATATGTAAATACAATATATTATATTATTAGCATGGCACAATATTAGTATTATATATTACTATATTGTACTATACCATTATACTGTGATATTTTTATTAATATTACATGTAATGTAAAATATATAATTATAAAATCATATTATTATTAATATGATTTTATAATTATATATTTTACATTACATGGGTAACGTCCTTGCAGACAGCCAATTCTCTCACACCAGAAGCAACTTGCAGTTTCTCAGGTCGCTCCTGACACAACAAAAAAAATATTATTATTAGTATTATATTGTATTACATTATAATATTATTTATAATATTATATAATATTATAATATTATTATTAGAAATGTAATACAATGTTCTGGTTGCAGGTGACACGATAAATAAATAATATTATTAATATTATATGTATATACAACATATTATATTACATTATTAGCACAGTACAGGAGACAAAGTGGAAGTATCTTCCTGGCCCCCTCTCTTCATTCTGGTCCCAGAGCACATTATATGTATTAAAAGCTATAAGATTAAAGCACATTAAACTCTATTATTATTATTATTATTATTATTATTATTATTATTATTTATTCCTTATCTGCTTCTCTCCAAAACTCAAGGCAAGCACATTACAGAGTTTAAAATACAGCACTAAAAACATAAAAGCCATTAAAACATATTAAAATGCACTTATTTTTAAAAAAAATGAGATTAAATGGTATTGAAATCATTGGTAGCAATCCATTGCCAAATATAAAATGATACAATTCCAAAAGCAAATTGTCTGCATCATAAACAAAAACAATTGGGAAAAGGATGCAATATTGTTGCAAAAACATCTAGATCAACATGCAAATTATTGCAAAAAAAGGATACAATATTAATGCAGAAAAGGAAACAAAAAGCAACAATTCCAAAAGCAAAATGTCTGGATCGTAAACAAAAACAATTGCAAGAAAAGGACATAATATTGTTGCAAATATATCCAGCTCAACATGCAAACTATTGCACAAAAAGGATACATATTAATGCAGAAAAGGCAACATGAAGCACCAATTCCAAAAGTGAAATGTCTGGATTGTAAACAGAAACAATTGCAAAAAAAGGACACAATATTATTGCAAAAACATCCAGATAAACATGCAAACTATTGCAAAAAAAAAGGATATAATATTAATGCAAAAAGGCAACATAAAGCAACAATTCCAAAAGCAAAATATCTAGATCGTAAACAAAAACAATTACAAAAAAGGACACAATATTATTGCAAAAACATCCAGTTCAACATGCAAACTATTGCAAAAAAAAGGATACAATATTAATGCAGAAAAGGCAACATGAAGCAAACCAATGCATGGCATCAAAACAAAACAAGGATCTCAAACAATAGTGAACCCAAATAAGTCAGGAATAAAGGGTCTTTGGGGGGCCCAGGGCAAAGAAAAAGGGGGCCCCTTACCTTATTTGGGGGGTCTTTGGAGTCCAAAGGGGGCTGCAATGCTTTTGGGGCAGAAAGAAAGAAGAAAGAAAGAAGGCTCTGCTCTGAATCTGGGCTGCTTTCTGCAAAGGACCATAGAGGCGCAGGAGAGAGAGCGGCCCCGACCCGGAGGAGGACCAAGAAGGGAGGGGGGCAGCGAGAGGAGGGGCAGAGCGGCCGCGGAAGGGGGAGAATGCAAGTATAGAGGAGGCGGAAGTCGGGGCTAGAGCGGTAGCTGGAGGACTGGCTGCAGATTGACACTAGAGGGAGTCCATTGAGGAAATGCATTATATTACATTACGTTACATTATATTATATTAT